GCCCTGCGACGGTAGTACATCAAGATCGTCACCACGCCGTCGTGCTGACGGAACTCTTCCCCGACACTTTGCTGGATCAGAGTCCGGGGATGTCATCGAGCTGAACGTGTGCTAGAACTCGGAGGTGCCATAGTTTCGGTGCTTGATCCGTCGGGCCGTGAAGACGTACGACTACATCAACCGCGTTGTGCTAACGCTTCCGCTGTCGATCTACAAGGGTACGTAGATCACACTCTCCCCTCTCGTTGCTATGCATCACCATGATCTTGCGTGTGCGTAGGAAAATTTTGAAATTACTATGTTCCCCAACACAAAGTATGTACTTTGATGGATTTGCCCGATGATCGGCAAGCCATAGAAAATAAATGGATCTTCAAGAGGAAGACGGACGCTGATAGTAGTGTTATTATCTACAAGGCTAGACTTGTCGAAAAAGGTTTTTGACAAAGTTCAAGGTGTTGACTACGATGAAATTTTCTCACTCGTAGCGATGCTTAAGTCTGTCCAAATCATGTTAGGAATTGCCGCATTTTATGAAATCTGGAAAATGGATAAACAAAACTACATTCCTTAATGGATTTAAAGAAGAGTTGTATATGATGCAACCAGAAGGTTTTGTCAATCCTAAAGGTGCTAACAAAATATGCAAGCTCCAGCGATCCATCTATGGACTGGTGCAAGCATCTCGGAGTTGGAATATACACTTTGATAAGTTGATCAAAGCATATAGTTTTATACAGACTTGCGGTGAAGCCTGTATTTACAAGAAAGTGAGTGGGAGCACTACCACATTTCTGATAAGTATATGTGTATGACATATTGTTGATCGGAAATAATGTAGAATTATTCTGCGAAGCATAAAGGAGTGTTTGAAAGGATTTTGTCAAAGAAAACCTCGGTGAAGCTGCTTACATATTGAGCATCAAGATCTATAGAGATAGATCAAGACGCTTGATAAGTTTTTTTTTCAATGAGTACATACCTTGACAAGATTTTGAAGTAGTTCAAAATGGAACAGTCAAAGAAAGAATTCTTGCCTGTGTTACAAGGTGTGAAATTGAGTAAGACTCAAAGCCCGACCACGGCAGAAAATAGAATGAGAATGAAAGTCATTCCCTATGCCTTGGCCATATGTTCTATAAAGTATGCCATGCTGTGTACCAGACCTATTGTATACCCTACACTAATCTTGGCAAGAGAGTACAATAGTGATCTAGGAGTAGATCACTGGACAACGGGCAAAAATTATCCTTAGTGGAATAAGGATATGTTTCTCGATTATGGAGGTGACAAAAGGTTCGTCGTAAAAGGGTTACGTCGATACAAGTTTTGGCACTGATCCAGATGACTCTTAGTCTTCATCTGGATACATATTGAAAGTGGGAGCAATTAGCTAAAGTAGCTCCGTGCAAAGCATTGTAGACATAGAAAATTGCAAAATATTTACGGATCTGAATATGGCAGACCCGTTGACTAAACTTCTCTCACAGGCAAAACATGATCACACCTTAGTACTCTTTGGGTATTAATCACATAGCAATATGAACTAGATTACTGACTCTAGTAAACCCTTTGGGTGTTGGTCACATATCAATGTGAACTATGGGTGTTAACCACATAAAGATGTGAACTATTGATGTTAGATCACATGGCGATGTGAACTAGATTATTGACTCTAGTGCAAGTGGGAGACTGAAAGAAATATGCCCTAGAGGCAATAATAAAGTTATTATTTATTTCCTTATATCATGATAAATGTTTATTATTCATGCTAGAATTGTATTAACCGGAAACATAATACATGTGTGAATACATAGACAAACAGAGTGCCACTAGTATGCCTCTACTTGACTAGCTCGTTAATCAAAGATGGTTATGTTTCCTAACCATGGACAAAGAGTTGTTATTTGATTAACGGGATCACATCATTAGGTGAATGATCTGATTGACATGACCCATTCCATTAGCTTAGCACCCGATCGTTTAGTATGTTGCTATTGCTTTCTTCATGACTTATACATGTTCCTATGACTATGAGATTATACAACTCCCGTTTGCCGGAGGAACACTTTGTGTGCTACCAAACGTCACAACGTAACTGGGTGATTATAAAGGTGCTCTATAAGTGTCTCCAAAGGTACATGTTGGGTTGGCGTATTTCGAGATTAGGATTTGTCACAACGATTATCGGAGAGGTATCTCTGGGCCCTCTCGGTAATGCACATCACATAAGCCTTGCAAGCATTGCAACTAATGAGTTAGTTGTGAGATGATGTATTATGGAACGAGTAAAGAGACTTGCCGGTAACGAGATTGAACTAGGTATTGAGATACCGACGATCGAATCTCGGGCAAGTAACATATCAATGACAAAGGGAACAATGTATGTTGTTATGCGGTCTGACCAATAAAGATCTTCATAGAATATGTAGGAACCAATATGAGCATCCAGGTTCCGCTATTGGTTATTGACCGGAGACGTGTCTCGGTCATGTCTACATTGTTCTCGAACCATAGGGTCTGCACGCTTAACGTTACGATGACAGTTTCATTATGAGTTTATGTATTTTGATGTACCGAAGGTTGTTCGGAGTCCCGGATATGATCATGGACATGACGAGGAGTCTCGAAATGGTCGAGACATAAAGATCGATATATTGGAAGCCTATATTTGGATATTGGAATCGTTCCGGGTGAAATAGGGATTTTACTGGAGTACCGGGGGGTTACCGGAACCCCCCGGGGGTTATTGGGCCTACATGGGCCCTAAGGGAGAATAGGAAAGGAGGCAAGAGGTGGCCGCGCGCCCCTCCCCTCCCTAGTCCGAATAGGACAAGGAGAGGGGGGCGGCGCCCCCCCTTTCCTTTCCCTCTTCCTCCTCTTTCCCACTTCTCCTTCTCCAACTAGGAAAGAAGGGAGTCCTACTCCCGGTGGGAGTAGGACTCCCCCTTGGCACGCCCTCCTTGGCCGGCCGCCCCCTCCCCTTGGTTCCTTTATATACGGGGGCAGGGGCGCACCCTAGAACACACAAGTTGATCTGCGTGATCGTTTCTTAGCCGTGTGCGGTGCCCCCCTCCACCATATTCCACCTCGGTCATATTGTAGCGGTGCTTAGGCGAAGCCCTGCGACGGTTGAACATCAAGATCGTCACCATGCCGTCGTGCTGACGGAACTCCTCCCCGAAGCTTTGCTGGATCGGAGCCCGGGGAGCGTCATCGAGCTGAACGTGTGCCAAGAACTCGGAGGTGCCGGAGTAACGGTGCTTGGATCGGTTGGACCGGGAAGACGTACGACTACTTCCTCTACGTTGTGTCAACGCTTCCGCTTCGATCTACGAGGGTACGTAGACAACACTCTCCCCTCTCGTTGCTATGCATCACCATGATCTTGCGTGTGTGTAGGAATTTTTTTTGAAATTACTACGTTCCCCAACACTTGTATAAGTGAATGGAGGGAGTATATGTCAAAAACATTTGTCTACTACACGTTTAACCTTTTTCCAATACAAATTTATCAATTTTTTAATACATGGCAACATTTTTATACACATTTTCATCATTTTTCAAATGCTTAATAAACATTTTTCAAATACAAAATTATTTTTAATACATGTTCAACATTTTTACTATGAACACTTTTAAACATTTTCAAATTGTTGATTAATACTTTTCAAATACAAGATTAACATTTTTTAACACATGTTCAACATTTTTTCTATACAGATTTAACATTTGTCAAATACCTATTCAATATTTTTTCAAAGGGAAAACTTTGTTTTTGCCACTCTAGTTTTTGCCCACTTTGCTTATGCCACTCTAGAATTTGACACATCACTTTTGCCACTCTCAGCTTTTGACAATTATCACAATTGCCATTCTGTGGCAAAAGCAATAATTTTTCATTTCACTTTTGCCACTCTTAGATTTTGACAATGTATCATAATTGCCACTCTAAATTTTTTGCTTTTGCCATGGAATGACAATTCTAATAATTGTGAGAAGCTGAGAGTGGCAAAGTGACATGTCAAATTCTAGAGTGGCATAAGCAAAGTAGGCAAAAGCTAGAGTGGCAAAAACAAATTTCCCCTTTTTCAAAAGCTTGATTAACATTTATATATATATATATATGATCAAAAAATTCATCATTTTTACATACATGGTCAACATTTTTTCTATACACATTTGAAAATTTTAAAATGCTTGATTAAAATTTTTAAAATACTCGTTCAACATTTTAAAAGATGCTTTATTAACATTTTTATACATTATCATACAATTCAACATTTTTTAATATGTGGTCAACATTTTTCTATACATATTTAACATTTTCTAAGTATTTGATTAACATTTTTCAAACACTTGTTAAACATTTTTAAAAAAATGCTTGATTAACATTTTGAAATACTTACTCAAATTGTTTCATACACATTTTTTTGTATTCATTTTTGATACATAATAAACATTTTCTCTATACACACTTAAATTTTTTCAAATGCTTGGTCAACATTTTTAAAATATTTTATCTAGATCGATATTTGTAATATATTTATTTAGAATATTTGGAATTGTAAAAAAAATTAAAAAAGGAAAGCAAAAAACAAAAATAAAAAAGTAATAAATAAACAAAACAAAAAACGAGGTTGAATGTTCCCGAGTGTCTGGCCGGCCCAACTCGTGCCACGCTTGAGCGAGACTTGTCCTGGTCTCGCATGAAGCGAGACATATCAGCGCCCTCTCTAAGCAAACCATCTAGGCCTCTATATACCCCCCTCAAGAAAAAAAAAAATATAGGCCTCTATATACCAAGTCTGGGCCGTAAATTAACTGCCTCGGACTCGCTCCGAGACTCTTGACTGACTACTGGGCCACTGCGCGAGACCCAATTACAGAGGACTCGCCGCTTTTCTTTTCGTCGCCGGATACACAACCGAAGCCGCCGCGCTCCGCCGCCTCCTCTCGCTCCGCCTCCGCCTCCGCCGTCTGTTGCATCCCTGCCGGCCATGTCGGTGAGTGCCCTCCGCAACCGTACCCTCCGACCTCCCTGCTTCCATCCCCATCACGCAAAACCCTAGCTCCTTTACCCGCTTCCCCCGTCTGATCCGCGCTGCCTCGTCCCCACCTCCGCAGATCTTCGAGTACAACGGGAGCGCCGTGGTGGCGATGGTGGGGAAGAACTGCTTCGCGATCGCCAGCGACCGGCGCCTGGGCGTGCAGCTGCAGACCGTCGCCACCGACTTCCAGAGGGTGTTCAAGATCCACGGCAAGCTGTACATCGGCCTCTCCGGCCTCGCCACGGACGCCCAGACGCTGTGGGTCTTCAATCCCCGATTGGCGGTTTCTGGTTGCTTGGCTGATCGCCCCTGATTTGGTGGCTTTCGTCGGTTTAGGGTTTGGGTCTGATGTCTGTGTGTGCTGCGTCACGTGTGCAGGTACCAGCGGCTGGTGTTTAAGCACAAACTGTACCAGCTTCGGGAGGAGAGGGACATGAAGCCCGAGACCTTCGCCAGCCTCGTCTCCGCCCTCCTTTACGAGAAAAGGTGAGAAGCTTCAAGTATCGGAACTCCTGGTAGCTTGATTTGGAGCATCGTGCAATTTGTGGTCGTGTTAAGAGCAGAGCATATGAACCAGCGCTGAACATGGGAAGTAAATTTAGACTTGCTGAATTGCATTGTGGCGACTGGTTGACTATGTGAAGTAGGGTTGGCGTGCCTTCTATTGGGTTAGTCTCCACATAATTTGGGATAAAAAAAATGATGATTGATGATATAGCTGGTGCTACAATTCCAAATGTTACCCTCTGATGCATAGGTTAATATTTTGCGTAGTTATGTTGATGTAATTGTGCAATTCCTCCTCTTGTCGCAGTCTGTGTCATGATCATATTTTTGATTAGCTGAAATGTGTAGGATGTTTGTGTAGATACAGTATAACTTTTTTTTTTCTTATCCTTCTGTCTTATTACCACCTCTTATATTTGCTGAACTATGAGGACAGCTAACAGAGTTATTTCATGATATTTAGGTTTGGGCCATACTTCTGCCAACCAATTATTGCCGGGCTAGGTGAAAAGGATCAGCCATTTATATGTACCATGGACTGCATTGGTGCTAAGTATGTATCATATATCTTTCTGTGATCTTTTCCGTTACATGTGTTACAATGCTACTTCCTTCTCAAAAGTACAATTGACTTGAATACGGCTGTAGGCTATGTTTTATTCACATACTTCCATTTATAGTACCTATCTCCCATGGGCATGCTTTGGCTCAGTCAGAATCCTCGGATGTATTTAATCTTTGGTTAAGATTGCTTATTGTCAACTGTCATCCAAGTATTGGCAATTCTAAGGTATGGGATTTATAGGGAGTGAATGTTGAACCACAAGGTTCAGAAAACACCAAACAAGGCTATAAAAGGCATGAAAAACAATTAAGTAACTAAATATTGACCTATATAATGTTAGTACGTATATGCTTTGGAAAGGTTATCTTGTTTTAGTGTTGCCCAGGAGCCGTACAAAGTTGTATTGTTAATGTAGACAGCATGTGCTATGCTAATATACCGTTCCCATCTGTACTTTCCTGGAACCACAGACCGCAGTGCTTCATGTCTCTTGATACACGATGATGGTGATTCTTGAACCGTATGCTGACTTCCTGTGCAGCTATTATATCTGTAGGAGTTAATCTGATCAAAAGTGGTTCCTTTATGCAGGGAACTGGCAAAAGATTTTGTGGTTTCTGGTACTGCTTCGGAATCACTATATGGTGCTTGTGAGTCCATGTACAAACCAGACATGGTTCGTTTCCTTACTCGAGACATGTGTACACGCTAATTTCTTTTATGTAGTTCCTCATGCAAAATGCTATGGTAATTTCCCTTATCTGGTTTTGTACTGTTATGACAATTCTTTTAATCATTTTTTGGTAAAGGAACCCGAAGAACTATTTGAGACCATCTCACAAGCATTGCTGTCTTCTGTTGATCGTGATTGCTTGAGTGGTTGGGGAGGTTATGTTCTTATTGTGTAAGTTACACATATATTTCAAACTCTTACATAGTATACCAAGTATGCATGCGAGTGTGTGACCATCGCTGTGCTGACCGACTCACAATAATTTATTCATTATTAGGGCACTTTGTATGCATAAGGTCATCTCTAAATTTGCTAATCCCAGGAAGATGTGTTATAGTTTGATATTTGAACTGAGCATTAGATTTATTGAACCAACATGTGCTATTATACACCATAAGAGTAGTAATTTTGCGAAGTAGTACCATACTAGAGATCAGAGGAAGGTGCTTTGCCTTCTAGTATGCCTTTGAAGTCCTTCCTGATATTCTGATTCTCTGTTTACCTGGTTGCAGAACGCCCACTGAAGTTCAGGAGAGAGTGCTTAAGGGGAGAATGGACTGATTTCGCAACACCTACAGTCCTAGTTCACACATGAGATTGTTCAACCTAAAACCCGTGTGATCTACTCTTTCTGTCTGTGCTCAAGCACTTCTTTGTTCGATGCTACAACTTGGAATTTAACATGCCACTGAAATCTGAAATTGAGATCATGTGTGCCTGTGCACTTTGTTCCAGAATTGCAGCCTCCAGTCTGAGCAGGCTTTTGTTTTGCCTGTTGAAACTGGAGGCAACTATTGCACATGACATGTCTCTGATATAGTAGTTCGGCTTGTTTGGTTCGTGTACTATGCTTGTCACCCTCTGGGAGTTTGATAAATTTGATTGATCAGTGAGGATCGTATACTCGTATGCCTGTTACTTACAAAATTGTGGTAAGATTGCTTTTATATAGGCAAGCCAAAGCACTGTGCCTATTCTGACGACCTATATTATGCATTTTGACATGCATTCTCGCGACCCTTGTATAGGAATGAAACATGCTCGGACATCTTTCCCTTTTTGCATCACACCAGTGCACACTAATATAGTATTGCCATATCCTAATCCCATGTACCCATGACTTGCCTTATCTCCTCAAGATATACCAGTAGAAAATGAGATCTCCCACACGAACGCGATCTTCGGTTGCGTCAGCCGACCAGTGTTTTCGCCGGCGCGGCGGAAGCAGAGCACGTAAAGAAACCACTGCCTGCATGCATGTCAACTTAAGTGACTTTTGTAAAGATGGCATGTAGCAGCACGTCGCGGTCGCCTGACATGTACGGCCATTCGCTCAAATCATACAATTGCCTGATCAATTCCTACAAGAATTTTTTACACGGCACACAGAACACTCCTCCGTTTCCCGGTTGGTATCTTGCTTGCTCATGGGAGAGCGGGAGAAGAAGGGAGGAGGAGAAGTTCCCCGGGCTGCAGGGCTCGTGAGCGACAGCGGTGGTGACCGCCCGCGGCCACGCGTCGTCGGCAGCGGAGGGGAGGGATCTCTCCGGCCAGTTGAGCTCGACCTCATCGGCACGGTCGGTGCGGAGGCACCTCTGGGTTTGCCGGCCGCCGTGTCGGCGGAGGCCGAGCAGGAGCCGCGGCAGCTGTTCCGGTGCCACTACTGCCGGCGGGATTTCTACAGCTCGCAGGCGCTCGGCGGGCACCAGAACGCGCACAAGCGTGAGCGCACGCTCGCAAGGCGCCACGCCGGCGTGCCAGCGCCGCTCGGACAGCACGGTTACTCCTTCGCCATCCACGGCGGGCTCGGTGCGCCGGGGCCTGGCGAGCTGCCGAGCTGGTTCGGCGCATTCAACGTCCGGAGGGCGGCTGTGGCGGCGTTCGGCGAGGAGGAAGGCTGGCGGCGGCGGAGTGACGGAAGTGTTGGCCACTGTGGTGATGGCGATCAGGAGCTGCGGAAGCTTGACTTGACGCTAAAGCTGTAATCGTAGTAGATCTTTGGTGCTACTACCCATGGATTAAGTACTTAAGAGTGTGTGTAAATAGTTTTGTTGCAAAAAAGATGGCATGTGATGAGAATAAGCAACACATAGTACTACTCCCTTCGTTTCTAAATACTTATCTTTCTAGGCATTTCAACAAGTGACTACATACGGAGCAAAATGAGTGAATCTACACTTTAAAATATGTCTACATACATCCATATGTAGTAGTCATTTGAAAAGTCTAGAAAGACAAATATTTAGGAACGGAGGGAGTAGATCATAATTTTAGAAACATTTGAGAGCTCTTGTGAATACACTGATATTTCCCCGCAAAAGAAAAGAATACACTGATTTTGTTTTTTGAGGGGAAGAATACACTGATATTGATGTGCGGAAAACTACAAATCGTAGCTTTGGAGTCGGTCCTCAAAGTCGGTTTCTGGTAAAAGAAATTTTAGCCAACTAATTGGTGCAAACATGGTGGTCTTAGAGGATGCCCAATGGATGACTTATTGCTGCTATGAAATCAGGGGCGGAGCCAAAATTTTTTACCATTGGGTTCAGTCATTGACTTGTTATAAGGATTTGGTACCGATAAATTAATTATAACTTCAAATCTATACCATCTCAAGAAGTGTTTGGCACTAAAACACAACATACATAATAGAGATACGACATCACTTATCACATATTGTATTACATTAAAAACTGAAAGAGTGCGGCACATACCGGTTGGATGACATTGAATGAAATGGAGAGCTGTTGAGCAAAGTAATGCACATAATAAAGTGAATAATATTGCAAAATATTTGCTTTCAATTGAACACACCATACATGTTGCTTTCCCCATCACACTATTGTCCTCTGACATACATGTTGCTTGCCCCATCATATTATTGTCCTCTGACCTGTTTTATGCTTAATCAAATATTAGTGAATACTTTTTTAAGAGTAGCCTTGCGACAAATTGTTGATGTTTCCTTAACATGTTAGACTCCAACTAACCGTTCAATGATAAATCCTAGATTGCTAAAGTATTTTGAAAGAATTGTCATCTGCTCTTTGCCAGACACATCGGTAACCTCATCGATCAACAAACTGAATATATTACCTCTGATTTATGCAGTAATATAATTCAAAATTTCTACATACTCATTTGGCAACATCTTTAACTCGTAAGAAAACATAAATAGTAGGCAATATAAAGTCATGATGAAGTCCCCTTTGTAAAATAATTGGGAATTACCTTCGTTAAACTATCCTAGATTAAGTCTCTATTCATACCTGCAATATCCATGTGTGGATAGACATAATTAAGTGGTGGCATGTAAGGTCACTTTGTTAAATATGTGCACCTAATCTCATCTTACTTCCTCGACTTCTTGTGTACTTCTAAATTATCTTCTGATCGCTGAATCATAAGGCAATTCACTCAAACTATTTTATCTTTAAATGGAAAGGCTTCAGAAGACTACTCATGGAGAAATTTGATGCACTTTGACAACGTCTAATGGGTGGCCTTGAAGTGCTAACATCATTATCTAAATCTGATGATGATTTTTTTTGAGGAAATAAAATTCGACATCCTAGATCAATCAAAGTACATGGAATCACTGAATAACTAACTGGAAAACTATGGGATACCAACTACGATATACTCCCTCCGTTCCTAAATATAAGTCTTTGTAGAGATTTCACTATGAACCACATACGGATGTATATAGATGCATTTCAAGTTTAGATTCATTCATTTTGCTTCGTATGTAGTCCATCTAGTGGAATCTCTATAAAAACTTATAGTTAGGAACGGAGGGAGTACACAATAGAGAGGAGATGTGATGAACTGCAACCTCAAATTTGGTCCAGGGAGCCTTCCTGCTGCCGACCTGTCCTTGTCGCCTCATCTCTGTGTTGGGAAACATAGTAATTTCAAAAATTTTCCTACGCACACGCAAGATCATGGTGATGCATAGCAACGAGAGGGGAGAGTGTTATCTACGTACCCACGCAGACCGACTGCGGAAGCGTTGACGCAACATGGAGGAAGTAGTCGTACGTCTTCTCGATCCGACCGATCCAAGCACCGTTACTCCGGCACCTCCGAGTTCTTGGCACACGTACAGCTCGATGACGATCCCCGGGCTCCGATCCAGCAAAGCGTCGGGGAGGAGTTCCGTCAGCACGACGGCGTGGTGACGATCTTGATGTTCTACCGTCGCAGGGCTTCGCCTAAGTGCCGCTACAATATGATCGAGGTGGAATATGGTGGCAGGGGGCACCGCACACGGCTAAGGAACGATCTCAAGGATCAACTTGTGTGTCTAGAGGTGCCCCCCTGACCCCGTATATAAAGGATCCAAGGGGGAGGGGCGGCCGGCCAGGAGGAGGGCGCAGGAGGAGTCCTGCTCCTACCGGGAGTAGGACTCCCCCCAATCCTAGTTGGAATAGGATTCCCCGAGGGGGAAAGAGAGAGAGGGGGGCCGGCCACCTCTCCTTGTCCTAATAGGACTAGGGGAGGGGGGAGGCGCGCGGCCCACCTTGGGCTGCCCCTTTCTCCTTTCCACTAAAGCCCACTAAGGCCCATATAGCTTCTGGGGGGTTCCGGTAACCTCCCGGTACTCCGGTAAAATCTCGATTTCACCCGGGACACTTCCGATATCCAAACATAGGCTTCCAATATATCAATCTTTATGTCTCTACCATTTCGAGACTCCTTGTCATGTCCGTGATCACATCCGGGACTCCGAACAAACTTCGGTACATCAAAATGCTTAAACTCATAATATAACTGTCATCAAAACCTTAAGCGTGTGGACCCTACGGGTTCGAGAACAATGTAGACATGACCGAGACACGTCTCCGATCAATAACCAATAGCGGAACCTGGATGCTCATATTGGTTCCCACATATTCTACGAAGATCTTTATCGGTCAGACCGCATAACAACATACGTTGTTCCCTTTGTCATCGGTATGTTACTTGCCCGAGATTCGATCGTCGGTATCCAATACCTAGTTCAATCTCGTTACCGGCAAGTCTCTTTACTCATTCCGTAATACATCATCTCACAACTAACATATTAGTTGTAATGCTTGCAAGGCTTATGTGATGTGCATTACCGAGAGGGCCCAGAGATACCTCTCCGACAATCGGAGTGACAAATCCTAATCTCGAAATACGCCAACCCAACATGTACCTTTGGAGACACCTGTAGTACTCCTTTATAATCACCCAGTTACGTTGTGACGTTTGGTAGCACCCAAAGTGTTCCTCCGGTAAACGGGAGTTGCATAATCTCATAGTTATAGGAACATGTATAAGTCATGAAGAAAGCAACAACAACATACTAAACGATCGGGTGCTAAGCTAATGAAATGGGTCATGTCAATCAGATCATTCACTTAATGATGTGATCCCGTTAATCAAATAACAACTCATTGTTCATGGTTAGGAAACATAACCATCTTTGATTAACGAGCTAGTCAAGTAGAGGCATACTAGTGACACTCTGTTTGTCTATGTATTCACACATGTATTATGTTTCCGGTTAATACAATTCTAGCATGAATAATAAA